ATATATAATAAAAGCTCATTTGGAAAGGATAATAAAGAAAAGTAGCATACTAATCTCACTTATGAATACTTAAAATATTTACAAAATCCAATAGCAACGAAGAGGGTTATATCACAAATAGACCAAAAAACATAATGGAAAGATCGTGGACCTAAATGCTGAAATAGCCACCAGGCAAGATTCAGCACTTATATGTAAATAATGGTAATAAAAATGAAGGGTGAAATTCAGCCCCAAAGCTGAATATTGGGGGTACCAGAAACCTTCACATTAAAATCCATACAAGATGATGACATCCTCTTTCATCTTTCTCTGTTTAAAAACTTATCCATTAGGAATGTGCTTGGTTGCAAGTAAAAGAAAACTAGGCTCTAATTTTAAATGTGCCTAAAATTACAAGAGGCTTAAACAAATAGGGGTTTTTTTTCCTCAAACCAGATGCCTGTTTATGCTTGGCTGCTTTTTCAATGCTTTGGTAGTTTGAGAGCTGCTCAAAAGTTATGTACATTGGCTATTTTGATATATATTGCAAAACGGCCTCCCAAAAGATGTTTCACCAATTTAGACACCAGTGAAGTTTAGAAGGCTTGTTCCCACATGTCTTTTCAGAACTGGCTTCTTTCCTAGGTGAAAAAGATAACTGAAGGCCTTGATGTACATTTCATCAGTTATGGTGACTTGGAATGGAACATTGTTGCTGGCATTTTTATTTTTTTATGTGAGAAAAGTCAGTGGAATCATTTATTTTTCTATTGGTGTGTTTTCCCTGTGTGTTGTATGTGTGTGCGTGAGTGTAAGTAATTGAGATCTTTTTTCATGATCTCAGCTACTGGCTATGGGGTAAAATTCCATGATGAAAGCAGAATCCTGAGCCACACTGTACTGACCACCAGGCAGCCTCTTGTGTCAGGAACACTGGAAATTAAAAAAATATATGGGGACAGATTTCCTGTTCACCCCCAGCTGTGCTTATTCCAGTATATGGGTTAAAATGCGTGACAATGGGAGAGACAGGAAGTCAACGCTAGTCATAAATGCTAGTTCTGACGGATGGAAAAAAAGAGCATTTTCCCTGATTTGGTCAATATCCCACCATCCTAAAGTCACCTTCACATGCAATTTCAAGAGCTAATAATGGATAGGCTTACAGGGTATTGCATTGGAATGGTCTGTTTTTGCTGAGATCCCAAAAGTGTTAGTTGATCTGCACAGTTGATTTGCTTTTACCTATTTCTTCTCTAGAAACCCCCTCATTTAGGCATATTGGAGCTGCAGGGCCTTTAGAGATAGTTACCACAAAAAATGAAGTCCAGAGGAGCCAGCTAGGTCACAGACTCAAGGTCACATTCTCGGTTAAGGACAACGAAACAA